TAGTAAAACCCCAATGTCGAAATTAATGAGATTAAATGATTAGAGTTTAGTTTTCTAACCTCCCTTGTGTAACACCCATGTTCCAGACCGGCTTAACTTTATATTTATCAGGGGCTAAAGATGGAGTTTTGGGAAAAACTCTATGCCACGATGTGGCGCGAGGATGCCCATGGCGTGGCAACGAATAAAGTAATGCGTAGCTTGTTAAATCGCCACAATATGACATTAGGCTGCCACGATGTGGCAGCTGTTCTGACCCAAGTTCATGATTCTTTAGGGTTTCTTCCATATTTAAACCTCTCTGCCTTGAACTTAGGGTTGGCCCATTTGCATGAGTGGGTCGACTCTTGCATTGATGTTTTGGGCTGGGCCCATTGTCATGCATGTAGGGTTGGGCCCATTTGCATGAGTGAGTTAGGCCCATTATATGTTGGGTGTAACACCGTAAATTTCCAAACTAATTTTTCATTTAAAAATCATATTAATTTCATTAACACAATCACAAAAACCCCCAAATATCGAGTTATCAAAAAAACACATGTTCATAAATTGTTTAAAACGCAATCCAGGATCATCCAAAACATATCTCCAACTCGTGTGTTTACAATCAAGTCGGTGTCTTCCAGTGATCCTGAGAAGTACCTGAAACACATAACACATAACACAGTAAACACTGTCACAACTAGCAAAATGTTAATCCTTGTGCAAGATAATTTCCTTTGTGTAACCTTACAACATTTCCTTTAGTGAAAATTCATACCTCAATACTATTAAGTTCCTACGTTCATACATTGTGATTCGAGCCAAAACAACCTCAAGCAAGTCCAAAACTCGACCAAAAAGCCAAATCCAATCAACTTTGGGCCTTAGCCTAAGAGTTGTCAGTCCAAATCCCTTATTGGACCAAGACTCTCTTATTGGGCCCTAATGGGCCAATAACCTTCCCAATTGGTCTTTTGGGATAAAACTCATCCTTTGACCCCTAATGGGCCTTCCATTAAGCCGAAAAACCTCTTGAAAGGACCAAAAACCCTCCATAGAACATTAGTGGACCAAGAATCCTCATTGGGCCAAGCCAAATCAAAGCCCACAAATATTTTTTTGGGCCAACCTTGGGCCGAG